TAAGTGCAGAGAATTAGATCGAAATACGGAGACTACTGAAGAACGAATTGAACAATAAGAAAAAAGAATTCATTGTTATTTGCCTCCTGGTCTTGCTGAAGAGCATGGGGTCCGTAACATAGTAACACCTGTCACACCACCTGTTACACCGCATTAAAGCCCCGCGTTCCAGCATCCAGTCGAGCGCGAGGAAGCGACGGACGCGCGCGCGCGCGCGCGCGTGCGTACTCGCTTCTTCTCGCTCGATCTAGCGAACTCGCTTGTTTGATTCCGCTTTCAGTTACTCTCACTTGTATTCGTAAATTCACTTGGCGTCTCAAGGATCCCATGCTCCTGCAGTATCGGACTCGCTTCCGTCAGAACCCCGAATTATCGCATAATCGAGATCTTCTTACTTCTAAATGTTTTTTTCATTTAATGCGAAAAAAATAATTTACAAAATCATTCGGCGAAATATTCTAATAAATTCGCTTCGTTTACATAATAATAGTTTAGTTTCCAAAGAGAAAGACAGATCGAGTTTATACAGTAAAATTTTTTTGCAAAGAGAAGTGAGTATAAAACGATATGCGTAATTCTTCGATAAATGGCGCATCAAGTCCATTTCAGATTGTCTTGTATGGCATGCATTATTTCGATTTTCTAAGCGATAAAAGCGGCCGTTTGAGAAAATAAAACAAAAGCTATGACTGGAGAACTACAGGATTTCGGAATTTCTCGTAAGGGAATCCTTCGACTCGCCGCTCCTGCTGCGCTGCATTTCTTCCAATCTCCTCCCACCACGCGTAGCCCCCGCGTACTGGTCGCAGTCCCTTTAAAATTTGAATCACTGTCGGTTACTGAGTTCGTCACGACGTTACTCCGCGCGGACGACGTGAGTACACGTTCGCGGTTTGATTGAGCAATCGCGCGTGAAGCAATCCCGCGAATTCGGGATCGCGACGACGGGCAGACGATCTGTTGATCTCCACGAGATCCGTCAGGTCAGTCTCCGGTTAGCGAAACACGCAGCATCGGGCAGAGAGAAGGGAGACGGAGTCTTTTTGCAACTCACTGATCTCGTTGCAGGACGGACGAGCATCCGACTGTGAAATATGTCGGAAACAAGCGGGGACAGTGCTAAGTACAAGTGGACGCCCGAGAGCACTGCGTTGCTCGTCTCGGTGTGGTCCGACCGGCAAGTGCAAAAGCAGCTCGAATACGCTCCACGGCCACAGATCATCTGGGAGAGTGTGGCTCGCTATATGAAGAAGAAGGGCTATAATGTCGCGGGTAAGCAGTGTCGATCGCGCATGAAGCAGGTCCTGGTGTGCTATCGCGAGGCCAAACGGGCGGGCACTCGTGCCGGCGTGGAGCAATACTACGAGATCATCGACCGCGTGTTGAAGAACAAGCGTTTGGATCCCAATATCAATATCGGCATAGACACAGTGGGTGAGTTCAGAAGCTGCTGATTGCAGAAAGCTGATGCAAAATTTTAAAGAATGTTTTAAAAAATTAAATTGGAAATATTTTTGAGATACCTTTATAATTTTAAGCATCTGTGTTAGTTGTAAATGAGAAGATTAATGTATAGAAAATATCTTGATATTCTTGATTTTTATTAGATGCAACTGTAAAATCACCTCCAAAGGATGTAAAAACCAACAAGAATTTGCAGATGAGACTGAAAGTTCAGGAACCTGTACAATCTCTCTTTCGAACGGAGGCTTTGTCTCCCATGTGGACAGGATGTAAGGCATTCTATTTTCTCTAAATAAAATTGTCTTGTTAATATTAAATTTCATGGATTTTCTTCTTTGAACAGGTGAAAATGAATATCCAGATTCACCTGAATCAAATGAGACTATAATAGCCAAGCCATATCGCGTTTTCTCCCCTACAAGAGATGTTGCCATAAATACTGGTTTGACTCAAATTGGCAGTCAAGGAGTACAGACAAATCCAACTGTGACGGAGAAGCCGATACGGGAGGACTATCGGCAAAATTTATTAACTTCTTTTCCATATGGAGAGATTCCTTATCAAAATGCAGTACAGAACGTGCAGAATCAGATTATTCAAGAAAATATGCAGCAATATCAGAATATTCAACAGCAAAATTATACCGGATGGAATCAATTACCACAGCAGAGTATGCCTGCAAATAATCGACTTAGCTTCCAGCAGAATGTGCGTAATCCGAATCAGCAGTATTTACCAAACAGAACGACACAGAATAACGTGATGCAGAATAACATAATGCAAAATCCTAACATGGAAAATATCGCGCGAGAACAAAATCAGCTACAGCGAGGTATGCTGTATGCGGATAATCAAGCGATGCCGCAGGAGCCACGTAAAAGTGCGCAAAATCTGAAGGCTGTGTACAGAGACTATCAAGATGCCACGCGTCGTCTGGTTAGCATGGCGAACATTGTCATGCCGAATGGATCGCTGTCGCCAGATTTTTCACCAGATGTTTCACAAAATTTAAATGATGCTTTTTGTCAATCAAAGAGTGACGATAAGACACATAATTTAAATGAGACATACAATCGCCCCGTAGACAATCCTCTGGCGGACGCAACTGTTGTGACAAACAACGCGACTTGTAATGACGAGAGTTTGTTACTGGAATTTTTATTAGATTCGCCTACTCCATCGGAAAATGATAGAAAATTACGTGACAGTGCCATGAATACGGACGAAGTGCCAAGCGTACCGTTCAGGAAGAAGAAGGCACAAAAATTGGAGCAGCTTGTATTCAACGCGATTAATTCTCAGAATGAAGTCGTTAATAAGGTAAACTATTGCACACTTAAATAATATTTTCTTTTATCAAATTTTATTACATTTATTCTTTTATATCTTTTTTTCTTTTTCTTTCTTTTTTTCTTTTATTGCTTTTTCATATTTACATGTAATGTAAGTTTTCTATTATTTCAATTTTTCAGATTTTAGCTGCGCAGAATGATATGGTGACACGATTCCTTGACGTGGACAGAGATCGACAGAACAGGCTCGAAAACAGATTGGATCATTTACTCAATGTTGTTCACGCTACAGTACTTAACAAGAATGAAACGCCATCAACACCACCGCCGATGCCAGAAACGGCGATAACTTCTTTACATCCACCACCGAAACCTGGAATGATTCCGCCCAAGTTGGATCTGGTTCCGCCAAAGCCTTGCCGCGTTCCTTGCACGATACCGAATTCCAATATAGAATTAATCAATCAGAATCCTATTCTGACTAGACCCGGCGTCGTGTCGCCAATCACCGTTAGCCCAGGAGGGAAGAAGCTCGGTACTATATGGTCGAAATTAGGTCCAGTGTCTACATCACCATTCGTGAAAGCTCAACAACGGCTCGGTTTTCAACCTATTTACAACAACAATGACGCACGTACGAAATCATCGGCAGAAAGACGCATTGCTAAGGAAGTGGGCGTACTGCACATGGACATGAGAGGTTTGATTTACGAAACATTAAAACTGCTTGAGACAGAGCGTGAACTCGAGGAAAAAATAGAAAACGCGCGGTTGGAATTAAACTTGGGTCAGACATTGACTGCGCGCAGAAAATTGTTTACTCAGCGAGAACCTACTCCCATTATGATACTTACCGCAGCCTTTTTAGACGCTGAGTGTCGCGTCTACGAACAAGATCCGCCTTATCATGGTATATGGAATTCTCGAAAGGAGACGCTCAAGTATACCAGACGAGATAATCTTCTGACTGGACAGGGCGAAAGCTACGAGCGTATGCGCCAATTGAATACAGCAATCCAACGCGATTTAGGCTGCGAGCCGTGCGATACATCGACTCCAGCGAAATTACCGTTTAACAATGTCGCTGAGACTGACAATAATGAAGCTGGAGTTCCAAAGCAAACTATTCAGCAACTTGCGCGACTTGTGATGAACAGCGCAAGATGGCGAAATCCCGCTCAACCGCAGACTTTGGCCTGTCCTCCGATTCAATCGGCAAATCAAAATAATCCAAACGTCGAATATAATGTGACTTTCACCGCTCCAAAGGCGAACGCGCCTCCACATCCCGATGGACAACCGCCAGGATTTGTTAAGCATTATGACGTAGCGCAGCCAAAACAAAGTAGCAATAATGAGGCAGTCTCTGATGGTAAATTGTTGGAAAACGACCTGCATAGGCAGTCCAAGTTTCCAATGGGTTTCACCACCGCCATGTTAATCACCAACGATCAAAAAAGCGCTACTCTACCGAAACAAGCGAACGGCGAAGTGCCTAAAACGTTGGGATTTATTGATAATCCATTGACCGATCGCAAGAACAACGTTCGTTTCATGGATGAAGCGCTAGCCGAGTTACAGCGAATGTATATCGAGCGACAAGCAGCCGAGATACCCGAACTATTGCCCTTCGTAGTGAGTAATGGTAACAGCGCGATAAGCGCGCATAATCGCAACTTGATAGAGCGTTACGTGAGCGATTTAATGTCGAAGAAGTCGAACAGAGACAAAGATACGGACTCGGATAATGATGACGAGTTTCTTGATACTACTACTAGTATGCATCCAACCTGCGTGGTACGTAGAGGCTCGCTGACATCAAACGGCACAGCGTCGACGGAAACTGCTCATTCGGTAAAATTCGGCAAAGCAGTTAATGCCTGTAGAATAAGTTAAGCGCAGGGAAAAAGAAAAGCATATATATATATATTTTTTTATATCTTTTTTTCACTTGCGCGATCAATCTTCCCGATAGTTGCTCAACTGTGTGCGCCAAGTTCCTCATCACTTGTTACTTCACACATATTGTTTTTCGATCAATATTATATTCTACATAATAATCATGAAAAAAGTAATTGCCTTATAATGTCTATCACGAATATGAAAGTTTATGTTAGTAATGTCAACGACGTGATGTTTAAATCTGTTAATCCTTAAATACTAGTAAAAAATTAGATAAATATTAGCAATACTTATATTATATTTTGTTCCATCAGATTTAATAATGAATTCTTAGAATTCAAGGATTTTGATAATATACTTATTGTAATCTCTCTCGTTTAATTTTTTTATAAAAATAAAAATACTATAATTTTTTTATAAAAATAAAATTACTTATATATAATTAATTCAATATCAGTATTTAAGGATTAATATAGATCTTATGAATAGTTTATTTACTAATTTAAAATATTAATAATACATTTAGTGATTAAATTCTTATATACAGATTCTGGAAGAATAATACATTCCGTAAAAGTATGTTATATGCATATTAATAATTTGAATTGAGCATACAGTGCAATGATCTGTTGAGACTTCTTTTATTGATTGTTTTTATTATTTAGATCATATTATACGATATCTCCTTATATAATCTATGCGACCACTATGCATATAGTATGCATAATTAAAACCATATTCATTGATCAAGCAATTTCATAAATCTTGCGCAAAATCAAAAAAATGGATATATTACTTATATTCTTAGATAAATAGAATTTTTATGAGAGCAATCTCATATTTTTATACTATGATTCGAGCGAATTTATATATGCTACTTTGTTATTCCTTATATATAAATCTTTATATTTCCTTATATATAATCTTTGTATTTCCTTATATATAATCTTGCGTCGTAAAATTATATATAAGGAAAATACAAAAATGTTCATCGCCTTCATTTCAGTGTGCTAAATTAGCGATAGTACAAATTGGACTTCATTTATAAACAAATGCTTTATTTTTAATAAAGAACTTTATGTTTCAATCCTAAATTTTTTTTAAGTTTTAAGACTAAAAACTTGCAATGATATTTTTAGATAAATAAATGACAATATTAATATATGTATAATTAAAATTTTATCAA